CCTTCGATTTTGTACCCAACACACTGCACACGTTGTTTTCCACACTTATGGGTCACTTGCTTAATTTTTCTACAAACTCATGAACACCGTTGTGTGTGTGTGTGTGTGTGTGTGTGTGTTTGATGGGAGAGAGAAAAGGTTTTGTGGATACTCCTCTGTTCCTTGCTGTGTGAATGCCCATGACTTGTAAAACGTCTTGCTTTGCACTGCTGTGATCGGCTTATAACTTGAGACACCAGAGAGGGGAGGTCGCACCTGTATATACCACTTTGATTTGTAAAGCACCTACCTCAGTGCCCTGAGCATGCATGGGATTTAGTCGACAGCATTTCAGGTTGTAGCAAATTCACTTTCAGTTTCCTCATCTATAGAATGATGTGAGGATTCATCTCAATTTGGTTCAATTCAATTCAGAACCACAGACTGTTCATGGAAGGAAAGGCTCTCTGATAGCAGTCAGGGAAGGAGAAATGACACTCAAAGAGTATTGGCCTGAGACATCTGGAACAACTGGTTTCTTTGTTTGTTTACACTTATCTTTCAGATCAATATCAATTTGAATATTCTTTAGATCAACGGAAATGAACAGAAACGGTTTTGTAACTATGGATAGTTTGTGCCTGGAGACCTGGGCTGCATCTTTACGCCTCACCTAGGGTTGACCCCACTTCATGTGTCCCCTCTGTCACTACCTCTGGGTGGGTATGTCCCCATCCTAATGAACACTGAGGGCACCTTGAATGGGAAGTAAAAGGAAGAGATCTCATGGGATGGCAGCACCCACCCTGAGGTGAGGGTGAAGCATGCACGAATGTGGTCTGACAGGCAGGCGGAGTGGCTGCATGTTGCCATGGTGACGGATGTGCTTAGCTCTAAGTGTATGAGCAGCCTCCCTGTTTTTAAATAGCAGCTGGTCAGTGCCACTGCCCTCCCTGGGTTGCTGCCCCCCCTGAGTCACTGCTTGGCCCCAGCTGTCCTGATCTCTGTTGACAAATGGTTGTCCTTCACAGTCAAACTACTAACAGTACTCTAATTAATGAATGTGCTAATTATCCTTCCCTACTCCCGGCACATTTGTCTAACGAAGCTGTCATACACAGACAAGTGCAGCACAGGCCTCTGTACGGAGGGTCTGGGAGCAGGGGGTCGGCAGGAGAGGGGCAGGCCCACAGCCTTGGAGCTGTGGGATATTTCTTGTCAAATTATCTTAACGAACAGCCAGGTGTCTTGGGATATGTTATTTCCTGTGATGGGTGTGTGTTTTCCATTCCTTCCTTTAAAAAAAAAAAAAATCTCTCTTCAAGAGTGGAGAGGCCATTGCTTAATTTGCCAGCCTCGGACAGGATTGCCAAGCAATGATGCGGATGGCAGAGGGTACCAAGTTCTGAAAATGATTCCTCAGCAGCAGGTAGGGTGGTTGAAACCTCAGACGTTAAAGCTAGATAGGCCTGTGTTGGATCCCAGTTCTGCTCCTTGCTACATGGCTGTCCTTGACCACGTTTGGGCAACGGTGTGGGTGCAGGGGGTGAGTAGGGTGTCGTGCGTGGGGGATAAATTATCCACTGTGAAGCCCTTGGCACAGTGCGCAGCACAGGCCTCCGGACACAGCTGCCCAGTGCGACAGGCCGCGGGTTGCTCTGGACTGTCCCTGGCGCGGCCCGCGGTGCCCGTGTGGAGCCAGGGAAAGGCGGGCAGCGCCCCTCCCCCGCCCCCAAGCGCCCCTGCCTTTTTGTTCTGTCTCAGCAGCTCTCTATTGAGATGAATGGCATTTCCAGAGGCTTCACCTCTGATAAGTGCTCCTCCGTAGCTGCAGCCAGAATCTTAATGTGCACACTGTAATTTAATGGCCATCTCGGGTGGCTATGAGCACGCACTTACCGGGTGAAGAGGACTCGTGCCACCAGCACGTGCTCTCTATTCTGGGTGACTCCAGGGAGCTCCGGGTGCGGGGGCGGGCGTCACTGAACCTCCAATCAGGCACCTTCAGAAGTGGACATATTCTCCCCAGTTTATGGGGCTTAGAAAGTCTTGGGGAAAGAGCAAGAGCACACCTACCTGGTCCCCTGCCTTTGGTGGGGATCAAAGGGTCCAAGTAGCATCGAGGTCTGCTTCCTTAGGTCCTGTGGATGCCGTTTTTCTGGGTGCTGGCACGTGGGCCACACATTTGCATAACATAAACCCTCAAGCAGGATGCGATGTGGATGAGACACCAAAGTGTAAGATAAAGAAACTTCAAACACTGGAAAATTTAATCTGGGGCTATAAGTAGCAAGCAAAGCACCTTGGTAGATTTATTAGCACTCTCTCCCCACCTCTTTTTTTTTTTTTTTTTTTTTAAATTTAGGAACATTCCCCTCGACCCTGACCATGGGAATTACTAGGCTCTTGTTTTTCTGCCATCTGGTTGGCCTCCCCAGGAATGGCTACCTGGCCAGCTTGGGCCAATGAGGTTGTTCTAAGAGCTTAGATGAGAGAAGTCTGCTCTTGACAGTTGGCAGAAGATCAAAAATGTAAAACTCCTGAGGTGTAGGTGGACATATTTTCCACTGTGTGGAAAACAGAACTTTGTTCTGTAGAGAGATATATGTCTGACATGCTAAGAGAAGCTGCAGGGGGTGGGTGGGGAGGAAGAGTGACTGAGAAAAAGGCAGAGAGATGGAGGGAGAGGGCCCAGAGACAGAGAGAGGGAGGGTGACAGAGGGAGAGAGAGGGAACTCCCTAGCTCCAAGGCCCAACTCTGCTCTTTTCAACTTTTGTTTTCTCAGTTCGTTGGATTCTTTGAGCTAATAAATTTCCCTTCTTGCCCAAGCAAGCTTGAACTCCTCCTATTACTTGCAACTGGACTGCCCTTGCAGGGCACTGGCTTTTGTTATTGAGGTTGGCAATTATTAGAAGGGCTCACTCTGTATGGGAGTTCAAACTACTAGCTTCGGAAAACTGCGTATTCCCTGGAGCTTACCAAATTGCATGTGCAAATGAACTCTCACCTAGGGGCATCCACAAATGTTACTAGCCTTGCGCCCCTTATTTAATCTTGTAATAACTCTGTGATGGTTAGTTTTATGTCAACTTTACTTGGTTATGGGTTTGCCTGGATAGCTAGTTAGACATTATTTCTGGGTGAATCTGTGAGGGTATTTCTGGAAGAGATTAATATTTGAATTGCTGGACTGAGTAAAGAAGATCTGCCCTAGTTAATGTGGGTGGGCATCATTCAATCTGTTGAGGGCCCAGATAGAATCAAATGTGGGAGAAGTATGAATTCTCTCCTCTCCTTGAGCTGGAAAATCTGCTTTCTCCTGCCCATGAACATCAGACTCTTGGCTCTGGGACTCAACCTGGTCTGGTACCATTGGCCTCCCCAACTATCAGGCCTTTGGACTGAGACTGATCTACTATTACCACAAGCTTTCCTGGTTCTCCAGGTGGCAGATTGCAGGATTTCTTGGCCTCCAGAACTGTGAGAACCAATTCCTAAAATAAGTCAATCTCCTTCTCATGCATATGTATGTATGTATGTATGTATGTATCTATCTATCTATCTATCAATCAATCATCTATTTATCTATCTGTATTCATTTATTCTGCCTTTCTGGAGAATCCTGACTATACTCTACAAAATGAGCCAGGCACTCAGACAGCACCCAAGAGAGTCATGGCCAGCTTGACATGGCTACCAGCTTTTACATATCCAAACTGCACACTGCCTCCACCAATCTCTTTCTCTTGAAGCTGAATTGAGGACAATCCAGCTGGCCTCTGCTGCTGTAGGTATGGGGGCATGATCTCTTCCCCCTCACCACCTTTTCCACACTGAGAACTGCCTGCTACCACCAGCAACAGTGGCCAATGTTTTCTTTCAAAGTAAGGTTTTGAAAAAGGTACCACCTTATTAATGCCAAATAGTTGAGTCTGGGACAAAGATTGTAGGAATCTTGCAATTGGAAAAGCAGCAGGAGACCCCCTGGACCACCCGGGGGTGCACTCTTACCCTTTCCTGGGACAGTGGAGTCTACTCTTACTATTAAGTTGGAAAGAATTCAGGGGAGGTGTTTGTATAGTTGCTTCAGAAAAGCCAGTGTTCAATAATCCTTCTTTGGAAGTTTCCTTAGGGGTTCTCTTCTTTCTTTCTCTTTTATTTTTTTTTGGGGGGTGGGTACTCGGGTTTGAACCCAGGGATGCTTATCCAGTGAGCCACATCCCCAGCCTCTTTTATATTTTTATTTTGAGACAGGGTCTTGCTAAATTGCTAAAGACCTCACTGAGTTGCTGAGGTTGGCTTTGAACTCATGATCCTCCTGCCTCAGCCTCCTGAGCCGCTGGGATCACAGGCATGTGCCATCGTGCCCAGCTGGTAACTCCATTTCTGACCCTTACTATGTTTCAGTTTTAATCTTTGGCTTAATTCTTTAATTCTTTTTATCACCATAACCATCATCATTATCATCACCATCAACATTTTGCAGGAAGAGACCTCAGCTCTCTCACACTCATCACCATTCATTCATTAATCTATCCAAGTCTATGCTCCTCTGAGTCCCAATGTATTAAGTGTCACTTGGTTCCTCAACCTCCCCAGGAATTCAAGGAACAAAGGCAGTAAGTCCTCAGGACACAGGTCTTCCTGGTGCTATATACATAGAAGTTCTTTTTTTTTTTTTTTTTCCATTTACCTTCTCTTCTTTCTCGTTGCCAACATCAGAGATGACAGTCTTTTGGAGATCTCTGGTTCCTTCATGGGGCTTGCACTGGTCAGGGGCTGGGTTCCTGGGCTGATTCTGGAGACTCTCAGGGGGACCTCCCATGACAAGGCAGTGCAGGCGAGTGGGCCAGCCCTGTCTGCTTCTCCTCCAAGCCCTGCTTCTCCTGGCAGGCAGGTCACACGGACTCAGAGCCTGGATGCTTTGGTGGCTAATTAAAAAAAAGAAGAAGAAAGAAGAAGGCACTGTGCTGGGGACCTTCAGAATGTCTAATGAGGAAAGACAGCACAGGCCCACACTTCCCCTTCCTGCTCAGAGCAGGCTGCAGCGCTGGAGCTAAACCAGTTTCCTCTTCACAGCCCCAAGCAAGCATGGATCAAGAAACCGTGGGCAATGTTGTCCTGCTGGCCATCGTCACCCTGATCAGCGTGATCCAGAATGGTAAGGGAAGCCCCTCACTCAGGGAAGAGCAGAGTTGGGGCAAGTCAGGCTTACTCTCTCTCTGTGTGTGTGTGTGTGTGTGTGTGTGTGTGAATGCAAACACTCTTTTCCTCATCTCTCATTTCTCTGGATGTATACAGGGGTGTGTATTTTTGGGTGAATTTGAGATTTTCTTCCTCCTGGTCTTTCTCTCACTTTATTGGTGAGAGACTAAATCATGGTTTCCGAGCAAAGGCAGCAAAGTTGAGGGGCTCATGCACAACCCCTCACTCCAGCATCTGAAATCAGCCTTTTAGCTATTCATTAATTCAGCCAGGGAGGAGGTTGAAGGCAAGCAGCCTAGAAAGGGACACGAGATACGCGGGGCTTCATTAATGTACCTGCAGTGCAACTCAAGTTACATGTCATCTGTAGGCTAAAATAAGGAGAAAAAAAAAAAAAGAATTAAAGAAGAGAAAAAAAAAGTGAGTTTGGGAAGTGTAAGGGGGAAATCACCATATTATTTTACTTCTGAAATTTTTTTCTTTCTTTTGAAGAAACATTTTTTTTTTGTAGCACTTTCTTTTTGTCTAGCAATGTATGAGTTTTGAAGTATTTTTCATATTTACATACTGGGAGAGAGAAAGAGGAAACATTTTCTTATTTGGAATTTGCATTTTAATTAGCCTTGCTGTCAGGTGAAGAAAAAAAACCAAGCAGGTGTACCAGATCTGAAAGAGGCGGGACTGCGCAGAGCTGCCTCCTTTGAGTTCTCACCTAGGACTGCCTCTGAGTATTTCTACTAGGTTCTCCAGTGGCTTTGTGTTTTACAGTTTATTAAGACAAGAGAAAACTGGAGGGTAATTACTAAGGGCATCTGCTCTGGCTTAACGGCAATTACTGGCTGTTTATGCACGGTCACACTTTGGAACTTGAAGTATTGAATTGCTCCTCATCTTTGTCCCCATCTTGAACATGGACAAATGCTGGTGATTTTGCCTTCTGGGTACAGAACAAGGCTTCCCCTCAGCTTCCCATATCAGAGGGGCTCAACTTTGCATACTCCAAGTATTTTTTTATTTTGCACCTTTTGGACCCCCCAATTTTCATACTGAATCACACACAATCAAGTTTTAGCTCAGAGAGGGAGCAAGTGGCTTCTTGAGATTGCTGCTTCCTCAGGCCATTTCTATTTTATAGAGGGTTTCCTTGGCCTTATAAATTGAGGATGGATTGATAAATATTCAGCCTGCACACACTTTCAGAGGCTTTGCCGTGCACCAGGCAGGAGACTGGATACCTGGGATATGGCAGTGAGCAAGATGGCTCTGGCTCCTGCGGTAAAGGAAAGGAAAGGAAAAGACAGCAAGCAGGAAGCCTGCAGCAGCCCCTCCAGGCTCTGCAAAGGTTGCATGGGTGGGTGAGCAGCACTAGCTCGGCTCTGGGTAGGGTCTCCCCTCTGGTTCTTCCCCCCTACATCCATTTCAGTATGACTGACAGGCATCAGTAGACCGGAGATGCCAAAGCCTTTCACCTTCCTAAGCAGTTGGGGATAGACTCAGCTGGGAAGTTCAAGTTCACTCTCACCTGCTCCCTCTCAGTTCAGAGCTGAGTCAGGGGAAGCTGCAAGGCTCTCTGTTGTAAGAACAGTGTCTTCACCCCTACTAACCGAGAAGTCCGGGAACTCGGCCCTACTCTGTCCAGTGGGTCCTGGGCTTTTCCATAGTAACCTCACAAACCCCAGGAAGACTTGAGGTGGGTGGTAAGATTTCTGATTATTTTTGGCAGATGGGATCAAGTCTTCTTTTGTAGCACAACTGGGGAGAGTCTTCACAACCACAATCTAAAGGCTGTTCCCAGATTGGGTAAGATATATAAGAACAAAACACAGTGGCCTCGGGAACACAATTTCCTGGGAGTGGTGGAGGTTTCCTGATCAGGGAGGTACAAATATGCACTGGCATGGACCTATATTTTGGGACTGAAGACGTTCATGTTGGGCAAACACATGACCAGAGTCTGGCATGGTCGGCACATCACTGCTCTGTCCCTCCCCAGTCCCCTGGGAACCAGCTCTCATCCAAGGGAAGGAAGTTTCTGTTGCTCTGGTGAAGCCCCAGAAGGGCCCCTTGGGCACCTCTCAGTGGCTTAGGGTAAGTCATGCTCTTCTTTTAGGGAGGGACCTGAAATCCCTAGAAGAAATCATCTGTGAGGACTTTTTGCTGACTCTGTCTGTTCAGGGGTAATAAGAAAAATTCAGTGCTGGACTGAAATGGAGCAAATTATATTACGTGCATGTATAATTAGGCCAAAATGAACCCCACTATTATGTGTAACTATAAAAACATTTTAAAAAGAAAAATTCAAATAAGCTGGAAGATAATACCTCTACTTGTTTTTAACTGAATTTTTCAGGTAAATGTGAAGGTTCAGATGCATGTCCAAGGGTCTCTTTGCAATTCTAATTAACCTCAATGTTGCAACCATAAACCTATCTCTGAGAATTCAAAAAAAATATGCAAAAACTGTGCTCCCCTCACCCCCAAATGTTATTCTGAACCCTTCCTATTAGTTTTGCAAAATATTTCCATGTTGTTACCAGGCACTGCCCATTCTGTTTGTGTCCCAAGACAATGAGGTACCATACGCATGTGTCCATGACGGCATTGGCTCCATATTCTCGGTACACTCTGTGAGCCTGATTATCTGAGGGTGGGCAGAGCCCAGCCCGCCTGGTGCAACTTCCTGCTCTGCCTTCAAATGTTCTTTAGTCATCAAGATCTTTGAACTTGTGGCTGTCTTCCAGTTTTGATCTGCAGAATGCAGATTTGGCAGAACAAAGCAAGTTTAAAATACACCTAGACAAGAATTATCAAAACCTGGTTTCCCAGGGAGTATAGAAGTATAGATAGATGCATTTTCTATGAATAACAGGCAGAGAGTTTCCACTCTCTCCTGTCCTGGTGCCAACGACTTTGAGACAAGGCAAACCTGGGGAAAACAGAGAAAGTCCCCAACTTAAGGGTGGTTCCTCTTACAATTTTTTTTTAACTTTATCATGGTGCAAAAGTATATCCATACAACCATTCTGTTTTTTCACTTAGAGTATGCAATACTCAATAGTATTATAAAATAAGCTTAATGTGAGGCTACCGAGCCACTGAGCATGTTTAAGATGGGCTACGCTAAGCTGTGATGGCAAGCAGGTTTGGAGGATTCAATGCATTTTTTACTTCAATTATCTTCATCTGATGATGAATTTATTGAAGTAACCTCATTGTAAGTAGAGGAGCACCTGTTTTTGGAGAAAGTCATTTTCAAAGGAGTCCAAACTAATGAGACTGGGAGAAGGAGGTGAGCTGAGAGGAGGTCTCCAGGAGGGCGCTGAGCCCCGCATGACGATGGCAGAGGACAAAGAGGAAGGATGACCTTCAGCAGGAGCAAAGCTGTTTCCATAGCCCTTCTGGCTACAGGAGAAGGTGGGAAGAGTCAGCCTCCTTCTCTCTCCTCCAGAAGAGGCAGCCTCCTTCAGGTTTAGTCTTGCTCTGAAGCCAAGAAGGGTGATACGCTGGCCCTGCAGGATGAAGTCTGTGAGCATTGTAGGGAGGAGAGTTGAGCTGCCATGGTTCCCTGATAGTCCCACCCCAGCACATACTCACAAGGGACCTCACGGGTGCCATATTGGAAGGCTTGGCCATCCACCCTGGGGTCTGATGGGATCTAGAAAAGGCAGAGATTCGAGTTTCCTCAATGTAAGAGTCTTCACATCACCTGAATCTGCTCCTCCCTGAACATTCCAGCAATGGAAAACTCAGCCCACTGAGCTTGCCCTTCCTATTATTAGGCCTACGGAGAGCTTCCTTTGTGTCAAGTCCAGTGCTTTTTGCTGTGCATAGTATTATCTCATTCTATCCTTTCACCTTATGAAATATTTACTATAATTCATTCCTATTTCACAGATAAGCAAAGGGAGGCATGGAGAAGTTAGCTCATTTTGGTTGCAGGTCCCAGAGCCACAGGGGTCAAACTGGGATTCAAACTTAAAACATCTAGTGAGCAGACACTGGCACTAGTATGTTGCCGCAAGATGCTCAGGAAGTTCTTTCTTATGCTGAGCTGAAACCTGCTCCCTGTGTCTTCTGTCCTTCTGTCTGGAAACCCTTAGACTCTGACTTCTGCTTCTGTGTTACAGTGTGAGCTGCCATGTCCCTTCTGTAATGTCTTATTTCTCAAATGGCTTGGTTTTCAGAGTTCCAGGCCATTGGGTTACCTCTTGCTTCCTGTGTTCTTTCTAGAATGCCGGTAGTCTTCTGAGCAAGGAAACTGAGACACCTGAGATTGAGAGACCCAGCCCATTAAAATCATCTACATTGAAACTATTCACTTGAGAACTCGTATCAACCACCCTGCTGACTCCAAATCATTTGGTAGTTAGCTAAAATCTCAAGATCTTTTTATGTGTTTTTCAGAAGCTCATTTCCCTTCTCTGGCCCTCAGTTTCCTCATCTGAGAAGTAGGGTTGTTAAGACCTTCCACAGGTGGTTGTGGATGTGTCCTGTGAGACGAGATGACAGGCGGGGCGTCAGGGGTCCTGTTGTGCTCTCTGCAGCCCTCCCTGTGTGTGCCAGTCTCTCTCTCTCTCTCTCTCTCTCTCTCTCTCTCTCTCTCTCTCTCTCATCTCTCTCTCCTGGTTTTAGTTTAATGTTAGCAGCTAGCCAGGATCATTGGTCTTTGTATGCCTGGTTTCTGGCACATACTGGAGGATTACAAGGGGTTGGGGGGCAAATGGGTACTGAGGCAGCCAGTGCTTCCAAGGGCAGCTTAGAGGAGGGAGAGGTAGACCCTAATAGAATATCGGAGGGAGATGGACTTGCTTGTGTTTTGTGTTATGACTAGGAAAGATCTGCGGGTGTTTGTAGGGTGAAGAGAAGGAGAAAACAACCAAACACTGAGGGTCCCGGAGTGTGGAAACAGCGACAGAACAAAGCCCTGAAAGGGTGGCAGGACTGGGGTCAAGTTCACAGGAGGAGGGAGAAAACTTGGAAGAAAGGAAGGGATTGTTTCTCTCTGAGCAAGGAGACGAAGACAGAGGCTGGACCTAGAGGAGTATAGCCAAGTTGTCCTGCTGGCGGAGAAATAACCTCTGGGTGTCTGAACACCAGCCCTGTTTACATGTTCGGGTAAAATCTTGAATTCTGGAAAGAAAGTGACAGAATGTTCTGTAGTACTGTGTGCTAAGCGGGGACATTCAGAATGGACAGGTTTATTGCACCCTGTGCGGCTGATGGAATCCTGCAGGGCGCTTCATGGCACAGCAAGAGGAGAGAGATGTCCTCCCTCATGCGCTCAGCTGGATTCCAATTCCCAACCTCCCTGACCTCCCCGAGCACCGGTGTCTGTGTTTACAGAGGGGGACAGTACTACCCACTTCACCAGCTGGTGAGAGGCTCAGGAAGGGAATAATGTCAGGTGCCTCCCAGGATGCCTGGAGTGTGGCGGATCCCCCAGGGTGCACGCCAGCCTACAGGTAGCTCAAATTGGGCACACTCCTACAGAAAGGATGTGTTTTTTTTTTGCCAAAAAGAAACCTACCATAGGCCTTTGTTTACCCACATGGCTGATAAGATGCTCCTGTCATATCTTTCTGAGGAGGCTGACATGAAGGTGGTGAAAAGGACCCAGCCACATCTTCCTCTTTTTCACCCTTGAGATAGTTCAGATGTAGAACAGGAGGGGGAGAGACCTCCATCCCCCACCATCCAATCCAGTCGTGCCTGCAGGAGTCTGTCCCTCAGCATTTCCTACATGTCCACAGCCGTCACCCTGGTCAGATCCTATCTTGTCCAACCTCCATCCTGGGTCTGACCCCTCAAAAAGAACCTTCCACACTTAAAGAGAGAGTGGCTTTCTGATCACACCATTCCTGCACTCCGTAACTCCTGTTGCTGTCAAAGGGAGCTAGGTTCCAAGTCTTTTCCTACAGCTCTGCAAGGCCAAGGCCGCTCTGCTAAACCCACAGGACACTTGTTGATGATCACCTTGTCAAGCCCTGGCTCAGTCTCTCTTTCTCATTGAGCCTCACTCTCTGCATCCTATTGGGCCCCTCGATGGCCCTTTAGCAGGCTCTTCTTCCTCTTTTGTCCGTAGCTCAGTGCACTGTATAGTTTTAGTTTGTGCATCTTGTTCAGTGTGTATGAACCTGTCTCCTCCTCCAGTGTCCTTGCCAGAGCATAAGCTCTCTACACCGAGGCTGTTTGTCTGCTTTGTTCTTGGATGCAAATGTCTGGCTCATGACAAATGATAATAGATTTATGTCAGTGGAAGAACAATTCGCTGTCTACCCCTTTGACCTTGTTCTACTGTGTCCTGCTCCCCAGCCCTCTTCCCTCCCCCATCTTAAGCTGAACATATGGAACCACAGACAGTGCTTGCCTCTGGACCTTTGCATGTCTATTCTGCTGGAGTAGAGTGATCGTCTCCCTCATTCCCCGCTCCCTCCATCTGCTTGGTTAATTCCTACTTGTTCTTCAGATTTCATCTTAGGTGTTATTGCTTTTAGGAATCCTTCGTGACCCAAAGCTGCCTCCTTTGATGTTTGTTAAGGCTGTGTACTCACTCAATCTCATTTTGACATGAATCACTCTTTAGTTTTATTTCTCCTTTGTCTATTTCTTTAGAACATTACAGCCCTACAGTAGGTCTGTGTCTTGCTTGCTATCACATCCTTCAAACCAAATGCAGTCATCAGGAGAGATCATCTGCTGAACACACTTTTTGCAATGACATTTGATGAAGGACATTTAGGGCTATTTGGAGATCGAGTCAAAGAAGCACTTTGATGTTCTAGTAAAACAGTGAAATAACATATTCCTGAACATGACCAATCCAAACCTTTCCCTCTGGCAGGATTCTTTGCCCACAAGGTGGAGCATGAAAGCAAGATGCAGAATGGGCGGAGCTTCCAGAGGACGGGAACACTCGCCTTTGAGCGGGTCTACACTGCCAAGTGAGTCTAAACCCTGATGCTGCTGACTAACAGTGAGGATGTGGGCCTGGGGGCTTCCTTAAGGGAGTGAAGACCACCCTCAAGACCACATATCTGCCTGGGCCAACCTGGGCTAGTGTCAGAAGAAAGGAAGTGGGGACAGGAGGAGCTGGGGGAGGTGTGATCTCGGCAGCTCCAGAAGCATCTGTGGCAGTCCCTCAGTCAGGGGAGTTGACCAATTTCCTGTGGGTTGGTTGGAGGTGCCATGGTGAAAACCAGCCTTGACTCATCAGCCAGCTCCGGAGCAACAGGCCATGCACAGGGGCAGCAACCTCCACTTACCGCCCTGGCTGTCCCGGGTGACAGTCTGGAGGTGACGCCAGTAAGTTTCATAACTCTGGGTCCCTCTGAGCCACCAGCACAAGGACAGAAAGAATGGGGCATACGCCGTTGTGTGACCCCCCCCTCTCTGTCTTTACTTATGAATAAAACAGCTGTTTGAAAACAGGAGAACAGCTAAAGGAAGAGGGGTGTGCTCTATTTGGGATGCAAATCCCAAAGGACAGTTAGTTATTCAAAGATGGCGTTACCTTCATGGGGAGTGTATTTAAATAGAGGATCAGCGGGGGTGTCCCAGCCTGCCTCTCCAGGCTTCTGAGGCCTGGCAGAAGGGAAGGCTGCATGCTCGGGAGCTAACTAGAGAGCTGGCCTTCAGTTCCAGCCCAGAGGTGACTTCCATGTCCCCAGAGCTCCTTCCAAAGGGGAGTCACGGCACGGAATACAGTATGTCTAGAATGACAAGAGTAGCCCAGGCAAACTCAGGGACACAGATTCACGGGGAAGGGGCAGGAGGCCCTGGGCTCCCTGCTGGCTCTGTGGGGTGGAGGGAGGGTCCCGCTAAGGGTCAGCTTTCTGTGGGTTAAAGTGACTCCAAGGGGTTTGGAGGGTACTGCATCACCGTCCTCAGGACTTCTCTTGAGTCCTCTAAGTCATCTAGATTTGTTTATTCTTCCCGTGAGGCATGGTCATGGGGGAAGGACGAGGGGAGTCTTCCTCTTAGCAAGTTTCTAATCATTGGCTTCACTTTTCCCTTAACTTCTGGATTGTTGTATATCTTGTCTGGACCTCTCCTAGATATATTGGCGGGGTGGTCATGGGCTGATTTTTGACCTTCACCCTCTCTGGGCCCTTGGCCTTTTGGGGTCACTCTGGAGTACTTACACTGCCTCTGCAGTGTACCCCCGGACCTCTCCCTCTCCATCCCACTTCCGTAGCAAGCATGACCAGGATCACTCTGTCAGTGATCTCAAGGAAATCCTTTGCTGAAGTACCCACAAGGAGATTTCTACTTTAGCATCTGGACCTTGGGTGCATTAATTCTCAGAATCAATTTAAGAAGATTAAGGATGTCATTTAAAAGACATGGTAGACCCATTTGAGGGAGGGCGGGGAGAATACACAGCTGCCATCAGTCTTTGGGCCCACTTGCTGTGGGGGCGGTGTGGCGAGTCAGCGCTCAGAACATCATGCACAAGAGGCACAAAGAAGGCCTCTGATTAGGGATGGGCTCCAAACACCTCGGATTCCAAGAATTCTTTCCACCAGTGTGGAAAGAGCAGGTTCTTTGCATCCAGAAGACTACATTCCTGCCAGGTACATGGGGTTCACTGGAGTATTTAGCTCCTCCATTTGGGAGAAGTTATGGTGGAATCTCACCGTACCTTCTTAGAAGTTAAGTTTCCATTTTGCTGGCCATGCACAAGAAACGGAGAGGATGGGGCCTCACCCTACCCCACCTCAGGAGTGAAATAGCTCTGTTTTGAAGACACCAGTGTAGCTTACACCTGGACTTGTTGGTTGTCAGTCTCCAAATTGCAGAAGTGCAGTTTGGCTGGGTTGTGCTGTGTTGCTGGTTTGGAAGTTATGCAATCACTTAGGTTCCAGGGGGAAGAAGGTGAAAGAGGATGGTGGCGGGTAATTGCTGCTGCTTGGGATCCTCACCATGTGGGTGCTGCAGCCCAGTTCTCAAAACCCCTGTGTTTTTACCAGTTAGCCTCCATGAGAGGGGAAGAAGAACGAACGAGGGGAGAGGAGAGATCATGTGGAGAGGGAGAGGTAGGAAGTCAGGGGGTGGGGAAGAGAACTTTCTGTAAGATAAAGGTTGCTCAGACATAGCTGTGGTTCTTCTACAAAGACCACTTCCTCCCTGGCCCGACAGCAGTACATGTGTGCCTGTGTGGATCGCAAGAAGGGGCCAGAGATCCATGCAGCAGGTTCAAGCACTAACTAGAGGTACCCCTGCTGCTGGCCTGCACTGAGACTCCTGGGAAGGAGACTGATTATATGTGGTCCTAATAGAAAGTCATTCCTAGCAATTGCATTTGGTGTGTGTGTGTGGGGTGTCTCTGAAAGCACCAAAATGGGGTACAAGATGATTCATGGGGGTGCAGGAAGATTTAATTTAATCTTGCTATCTAAAACATAAGAAATGAAACTTTACCAATTTTGAATACACAGATTGACAGTGGCACCTGTGCCATACATAATTTATACATAAATGTACCTATCATAAGGTTGTATGATCACAACTTTTGGTTGTTGGGGTCCAGAATCATAAATGTTTAAAGATCCTGGCTATGAGGGGGAAATAGCATAAAGGATAAATGATACTGGTGGATTATGTTTTTCAGCATAAAATATGACTGTTGACAGATACGGATTGCTCAATATTCTGGGTTGGTGCATTAACAGACATCCCAGGCAGCGTAGTGTATCAGCACAGACTTGGCCTTGATTAATGACCTGTCCCACCACCCATCTCCCACTAGGGCAGTGCTGAGTCAGGGTTTCAGAACTAAAAGGAGGTGAACCTTGACTCTCTGTTCACACAGTCCAAATGTAGTTCTATGCGCTGTTCCCAGAGGATGAGCACAGCTAGTACAGCCTTGGTCAAGGTTTGGTTTTTGGAGACAAATCCTAGTTAGCTAAACAAAATCTAGAGTTTCTCCCTGTGACTGAGGTGAGTTGAGGTGAGTACAGGGGATGGGTCTTTGGAGATGTGTACTTTCCTGAAATGTGTTCTATGGATTCCAAGTTCATAAGTCATTAACATGTGTTGCAGGGAAAAGTTCTTTATGGGCAGATGTTTTAATCAACTTTTCCACCACTGTGACTGAAACACCCAACCAGCACAATTGTAGAGGAGGAAAGGTTTATTTGAGGGCTCATGGTGTCAGTGATCTTAGTCCACAGGAGGCTGGCTTCATTCCTCAGGGCCCCAGGTGAGGCAGAACATTATGGCGAAAGAGTATGGCAGAGGGAACCAGCTCACATGATTATCTGGAAGCAGAAAGAGGGAGTCTCCACTTGTCAGATATAAATATATACTCCAAAGCCACGGCCAGTTCCCACCTCCTCCAGCCACACCCCACCACTTCAGTTACCACTCAGTTAATCCCTGTCAGGGGATTACTTCACTGATTGGATTAAGACTCTCACAACCCAGTCATTTCTCCTCTGAACCTTCTTGCATTGTCCCACATGTGAGCTTTCGGAGGGACACCTCACATCTAAATCAGAACACCAGACTTTTGAGAACCCATAATATACCAAGCAGTACTTTAATTCTTGGTTCTCCATAAATGCTACCTCCTCTCCCAGATATTTTTTGCAGATCATTTTGGGAAGTGCCACCCTAATATCACTTATTCTGTCCATCTCTTGGCACCCACTGTAAAGTCACTTTCAAGTAGTGGAAATTAGAACAATTATTTGAAGGTCATACATTTATAATAATCCCATTGATTAGTATTGGTATTATTATTAACTCCTTTTCATGATTTTATTGTTTTATTTGGTACCGGAGATTGAAGCCAGGGGCACTTGACCACTGAGTCACATCCCCAGCCTTATTTTGTATTTTATTTAGAGACAGGATCTTACTGGGTTGCTTAGTGCCTCGCTTTTGAAGAGGCTAGTTTTGAACTCACAGTCCTCCTGCCTCAGTCTCCTGAGCCCCTGGGATTACAGGCTTATGCCACAGTGCATCTTTCCTTATTTTCAATCAACCCAAGCCAACTAGTGAAACATTAAAGTTTTTCTCTATTATATTCCCAGAGGTGGAGAAAAATAAAGGGAAAATAGCACAAGTCCTTTTTTCTGTAGAAGCAGCGAGAGTGCAGGGTGCCAAATTGAACGTAGCTCAGTGAATTATTGCCAGAGCTGCCCAGAAGCTCCTATTTAGATATCTAAAAATGGATATCAAAATGGGTTTGTCAGTTCTGTTTTGCAGAACGAAATGGCACAAAACTCCTCAAAAGAAATCCAGAATAATAATCATGTGTCAGTAGGAAAAGACATTCCCACTGGGTGAAGAAGGAAGACGCTGGAGCGGTAATAGTCACCACTTACTGAATATTTCCTGTGAGCGTGCAGAGCTTTATCTCATTTTATTCTCAACTGTTTGGGGGGATAATGACTAATGTCTTCCTTCACCCCTTATATGAACAAATCGAGGCTTCATGAGACTAGGAAATGCACCCGCATCCACACATCCAGTAAGCGGCAGCTCTGAAATTGGATCCAGGTCCTGTGAACCTCGCAAGTAGCCATGAGACTCCACGGCAAGGTGACCAACGGTCCTTGAGTTCAGCCTGGCAGCAGCCCCCTCTCACGAAGGGGTATGTGTGCTTGGAGCTTAGAATGGAAGGTGGACTGGAAATTCTGGATGGGGAGAGGGACTGGTTTGCACTAGAGCAAGAGGCAAGATCTGAGAATATCCTGGAAATCCCAAGAAAGAGACCATTCTCTGACAGTTCAGAGAGCTTCATTCAATTCCAGACCGACTATGTTTTTATTAGGAACCAAGGTAATATAAAATAATAGGAAGGAATGATTGAAGGATTGATCCAATGTTGAATCACTGACCAGTTCTCTCTAATCAGAAGATTCCTGGACGATTAAAGATTTTTTTTTAATTTTGTCATTACCAGACAAAACTACTTAAAACCAAAACAAAACCCCCAAGAGACATGGGAATGAGAAATAAGCAGGGGAAATTTTTGGTATTAGTATATTTTTAAACTATAAGACCATCAGAAATTATTTCCTGTCAGACATAGCATTTTTCAACCAACTGAAAAAGAAATTTTTTTTCCTTCTCGTTTTCTTGAGCTTGGAAATGAATCACATTTTCTCAGTCCTGAGGCTGTAATTTTTGTGCCTCTAAAAATGTGTAAGAATAGAAGTGAGGTTGGTACTCAGTGGCTGCTGCATTTATAATGTTGGGCCTATTTATTTGCTGAGTATGTCATCCCCCAATGACGATTTGCAAGGGCCTCCTGCTCTCTGGAGTAACTGGTTCACTAGATTCATGAAAGTTCTAGGGTCCAGAGCAGCTAGCAAAGCCAGCAGGGGCCTCCTCTTCTTGCCCTGTGCCTAGCTTTGATTGTGTATGTCTCCCAGGACAGGATACATGGATTTCTCCCCTATCACATTTACTGACTTGTCTAGAAAAGACTCTTTTTTTTAATATTTATTTTTTAATTTTAGGTGGACACAATATCTTTATTTTTATTTTTATGTGGTGCTGATGATCGAACCCAGTGCCCCATGCCTGCTAGGTGAGCAGTCTACCACTGAGCCACAACCCCAGCCTAGAGAAGGCTCTTTTGACCATCGGAGGGGCCTGAAATTTCCTGTGATCGGGCAAAGACAACCTGATCTCTGTGGGGTCGCTGCAGTGTTGGATCAAAGAATGCCCATTTCAGATGTATTAGTCATCTTTGTATCACTGTAGTGAAATACTAGACACAGGATACTTATGAAGTTAAGAAAGGTTTATTTTGGCTCACGGTTCTAAGGTTTGAGTTCAAGATCTGGTGGCTCTTTGGCTTGGGCCTCTGGTGAGGGCAACATATCTTGACAGGAACACGTCAGTGAGTGTCCACATCTCAAGCCAGGAGGTATAAAGAAGACAGTGGCATCCCATAGTCCCTTTCCAGAGCACACCTCAATGACCTAAGGACCTACCACTAGGCCCCATCTCCTATAGGTCCATAGTACTTTCTAATAGTGCCACTCTGGGGACCAAGCCTTTAACATGCTGTTATGGTTGGGATATGGAGTGTGTTAATGCAAGAGGGGAAATGGTTAGATTGTAAGAGCTGTAACCCCACCAGTGGATTGAACGGACCACTGTACCAGGTGCTAACGATAAGCTGGTAGGGTGTGGCTGGAGGAAGTAGGTTGCCAAGGGCATGCATTTGGGGTTTACATTTTGCCCTGGCACCTCGCTTGCTCTCTCTGCTTCCTGGTTCTCATGAGCATAGCAGTGCTTCTCGGCCATGTCTTTCCACCATGATGTCCTGCCTCACCTTGGGCCCAGAGCCATAAAGTCAGCTGACCATAGACTGAGACCTCTGAAAACCATGAGCCCAAAATAAACTTTTCCTCTTATCAGTCATACTTATTCGGTATCTTGGTCACAGTGATGAAAAGCTGACACACATATGGGCCTTTGGAGGACACTCCCCATATTCTAACCTTAGCACCAGAGTTCTCATGTACACTGAGGTGCGGGACCCTAGCAGTTAGAACAGCGGTTTAGAAACTACACTTTTGCTTGTGCCTATATATTTTGCCTTCCACTCACCCATGGTTCCCAAACTTCAGCATGCATCAGAATCACCTAGAAGGCTTGTTAAAACAGGTGGCGGAGTCTCTTCCTCTGAGTTTTAAATTCTGTGGGTTTGAGGAGGGCACAAAAATTTGTATTTCCAACAAGCTTTTAGGGTATGTCAATACTGCTGGTTCAGGACTTTGACTCCAGAATGTCAGTGGAGTCTCTTAGTTTTTTTGTCTCTTAGTTTTACAGATAAGGAGACTAAGTCTAGACAGATTGCTTTGCCAGGGGTGAATAGCTGGTTTAAGTTAGGATGAGGACTGTCCTAGTCGAGTGCCCTTCCAATTACTGCTTATCTCTTGTCCTGATCTAGACTGCAGACTCCTCATAAGGACACCTCCTATTTAATTTAGTATAGTCCAATTATTAACAGGCCTGGCTTTGGAGACAGAATGACTAGGTGTGAATCCTGGCTTTGCCCCCTGCCCCCAGGCTGCGAGACCCTGGTCTAAGAGCCTCAGTTTCTCATCTGAAACATGAGGATAGTAGTGGCAGGCCGAAAAATGTCCATGATCTAATCCAAGGAACTTGTAAATATGTAGTTTCATGCTAACAAGTTGAACTTGAAATAAAGAGATTGTTTTGAATATCTAAGTAGGACTCAATGTCATCACTAGGGTCCTTTAAAATGGGGAAGGAAGAAGTGATTTGTATCAGAAAGGCTTGGACTGGGGGTTGTAGCTCAGGGATAGAATGCTTTGTTTGGCTTGCTCCAAGCCCTGGGGTTGATCCCTAGCACTGAAAAGAACAACCATATGATTAAAAAAAAAAAAAAAAAAACCCACAAAACCCTGTCTGGCTCTGTATACCTCCCCAGAAAACATCAGAAAGACTCCAGCAGCTGTCACTGGCTTTGAGGTTGGAAGGAGCGCTGAGAGGGGGAATGCCAGGTATCTTGAAAGGCAAGGAAACGGCTCGAGCTCCAGAGAGAACACAGCCCTGCTGAACCCTTGCCTTTATTCCAGGGAGATCCATTTCAGACTTGTGACCTCCAGACCTGAGAAAAAATGATTTTGCCTTGTTTAAGCCACCAAGTTTGTGGCCACTTGTTACAGAAGCCAGAGGAAACTCATGCAGATGTCCTGTGTACTCACAGGCGTATGGTGAGTTTAAAGGAGGCGAAGGCCATGAAACATCAGCTCTGTGCCTGGTGTACAGTGATGTCCCCGACCCCAAGGCAGCAAGGATTGTGCCCAGCACACAGCCAAGCCATTAGCAAGCTAGCTTTTTTTGCATCGGCTCTTGTGATGGGAACCTGGTTTCTTTACTGCTTGGAAATCTCCTTTCCTGCTCAGCCTGGGCTGCAGACAGGGGCTGATCTGTGAGTCTGACATGGAGGTCAGCTCAGGTGGGTTTTTCTCTCCTGACACCCCACCTGCTCATGACCACACCCTGCTGTCTGCTTTGCTCACTTTTCAATTCCAAGAAGCACATGGAACAGGAACCCTGCCAAAGCGAATACATCAAGACACCAAATCTCAGATCGGCTCGCTGTAGGAAGGGAGTTAATGGATTCTGAACGTGTGTTGGCTTCACCCCGCGGTCCGTGGCCGGCGCGGTGGCTGGCGGCCACGTCTTGCTGGATAGATGTAAGTGGAAGGAGAGGCGTTTGCGCTCCTTGCATGGTGGTGATTATTAGCTTGAGGTTTCAGGTAATTTTCAGACCACATCGCAGTAACGCATTTCCTGATTTCTTTCCTCCTTGTTTATTCCACAGCCAGAACTGTGTAGACGCCTACCCCACTTTCCTGGTGGTGCTCTGGAGTGCAGGGCTACTTTGCAGCCAAGGTAACTTCCCTTTGTTGTGTTCTCTTTCTATAATGTGCATCTCTCAGAGGTTCAAAGGGCGGCCGTTTTGTTGAAAAGATTTTGCCTGACCTCCAGCTCCGACCCTCCAAGCTCTGGAGAGGCGAGAGCCCTTGGGAGGTTCTGTTCCAGGCTCGCTCCGCGCCTGCGCAGCACGTGTGATAATGCATTGCTAATGCTAGCTCCCTGGCGGCTGCTTGAGAGCAGCGGCGCTGACAAGGGTGGTTTAAGGCTAAATGTGACTCAGAATCCTTAAACAGTGTTAGCTCAGATACAAGGGCATTATAAATGAGAGCGCCGGAGGGATCTATTCTGGGACTGCTGTTACTTGGCTCTTCTGCTAATAAGCTCCCTGCATAGTGGCCCTCCTCTGGGCATGTGTCCACAGAGCCCTGGGCTGGATTCCAGGACCTCAGCCTACCTTGGGTTATCAGCAGCCCACAGTCTTGACTTCAGCAAGTTGGGAGAACAGATCAACTCCCAGAATTGATTTAAAGTTAAATTGGAAACCAGTCTTTTTTTTTTTTTTTT